CAACTGCTGAGAGTGCCGTTATTTCTCGTCCTCGTCCTATCTCGTAAGAGTAGGAAACGAGATAACCATCAGGAATGCCAATATGAACAGTACCTATCTCTAGTGTGTTGGTCCATTCCTTGACATCCGTCACGCAAACGCGCGCGCACTTGTAATGTGTATCGTTGCTCCGTGATGCTGTAAAACCTTCTAAACTTCGCGACCTCCTAAACGCTGTCCGCCTTTGATATCCTCGTATAAACGAATTACTGTTTGTCTATCAAACTGTTTGGTAACAATAAATTACTCGCGACTCATAGAAATACTATTTATTCACAAAACGTCATCTTAATGACTGAACACTTTTACAAATACACATACACATACACAAACCAGCACAATTCAAAAGGCATGAGAGGGGTATGTTCTTCGAGTGGAAAGGAATTAAGCTCATCATTGAAGAGCACAATGAATCAAACATCTAACCGGACTATATTCAACAGCTGAAAAAGCAAAAAAAATAACTACTCCGTAAATATGTATGGCGAAATTGCATTGAAATCTAACCGGTACCATGACTAAGCTAATGTTGAACATTGTAAAACCACATGAGCCGCCACCTCAGAAAATAACTTAGAAAACAGTTGGCCATCAATGCAGTACTCATTTTTAGGGAATCCTTGAAAAAAAATGAAAGGTTGAAAAAACTGTGAGCAAGATCATCAATGACTCTTCTAATGGGTCCTAAGACATAACAAACTTCAAATTATGATTTGCAGTTAAAAGTTCAAGGAGATTTAATAGTGAAAGTAAGCCTGTGACAGTAAAAAGAAATGAACAAATTCAAAATTACCGTAGCACCGGTCTTTCCATTACATACATCTTTACAATTTGGTTTCTGTACAAATATTTTGCAACATTTAGCGAGGTGAATACATTCCTCTCTCATCCATCCATTGTTCAAATCGGCGCATATTCCTTTGTACAACAGTGGGTTTCTGAAATGAGTACGACAGGTGCCAAAACACAAATGAGCCAGAATCTCGAAGACTTCAAAAAAAAAGCTATTCCGAAGATTCCAAAAAGAGCTATATGAAGTGAAAGTAGAAGCCAAAAACAACGTGCGAGTAGAAATTACTTTTTCCAACGAAAAGCTGAAGTAAAAGAAGGCATACAAAAATGAAACAGTGGAAAGAAAATTACTTGGAGAAGTCTGGCCACGGCATCCTCAATTTTTGACATGTTTCGCCGAACATACAGTTTCGCATCGTTCTGCATTTGATCAAGTCTGAAAAGAAAAGCCTGAACCTCATTGTGAACTAGGAAAGTTTGGAAAACTTACTTTTTCGGATCGAACTCGTCAAGCGCATAAGGGAATGTCATGTATGGATTCAGCCTGAACAATAGAAACATTAACAATACATCAAAATCTGAAGGGGACTTGTTTCTAAATCGAACCTGAAGTAAACGTTCTGATCCAATAAATCATGCATACACATGTGCACGGTTTCAGTATTCGTGGCGCTATCAATAATACGATTGAACTTTTGCAGAGAGCTCAATGGAGATGGTGTCATCGACTGTTCTTGTTCAAGATCGCACACCTAAACCAGACGGATAGTTACAAAAAATAATAAATAAAATATAATAAAAATAATTGCAGCACATGTGGCTATATAACACTAGTTGTAGAATTATTTGAATAAGTAAACAATATAGCCGAAGTCCACTCACCGATCTACCATTACCAATGGACACGACGCAATGTAATCGCTCTTCGGGCCAAAGGAGTTTCGCTTCGTGAATTCCAATCGCCGTTGGATTGTTTGCAATAACCTATTAATAACGGTTTTGAAAAATCATTTATAGTAAATTAGTAGACGCAAAAATTATTATTTTAATTCTCACCCCTCCATCCTGCAGAAGATATTGGTCAACTTTGACTTCCTCAAAATACAGTGGAGCAGCAGCTGAGGCCTGGAATATACTATATGCTGACATAATGAAAAGCAATGTGGAAAGAGAAATAAGGCATAACTAGAAAAAAATCGTACCGCTTGTCGAAGAAATGAGGGTGAAAAGGAAAAGAAGAGTAAAAAGAGAACATTCTTCAATTTAAGGCGCACCTATTACTGGAGAGAATTAGAGAACAAAACAAGCTACAAACCTGAACTGCCTTCCATAGGCAATGCCCCGTGCTTCCTCGATAGTGGGAATCACGTCCTGCAGGAGGCTCATAGTTACGGAATATATACGGCTAAAAATAAAGTAGTTACAAGGAATCGCAATGCCTTATGTGACAGAATCAAAGTACCTGCAGAACAGGCGAGTTCACTATGGTCGCGACAATACTGAGGCGTGGAACTTCAGCCTTACTCGTCTCAATAAGAGTTAGATCTTCCCCGATAACCTGAGAAAAATACTTATTTGAGAGCTGATAGAGGATATGCTGCACCCAATCCCAACTATTAAGACTTGGACCAAGAAGGTCAAAATGAGAATGAAAAACTTACCTCTTTCAACATGCCCATCCATTTCTTAGTATCATAATACGAGTGATTCCAGACAACCCCACTAACACCAGTAAGACGGCTCTGTGAAAATAGCCTAAATCAATGCAAAAATTGATAGGATGAATTTCACTCTATATGCGAAAAACAATCGAGTTCAAGCTGACTACTTCTGAAAAGTGAAGTGAAAACTTTTTATTCAACTATTAAGTGGTTGGGAATCTTTGAAATGAAATAACCACTATTAAGGCCTCACTTTTTTGAGACTTCCACGTAAACACTGCGACATTCTCTGACACTGTATCCCTTTCCAATCAGTAAACTGGAGATAATGCTACCAGTACTGACGCCAACTACGTGATCAAACAACTCACAAACCTAAAATTGTGTAATATGTATTGAAAATAAATCTAACAAGAATGATTCACATGTTCTGGTTCAACGCGTGAACGCCAAAACTGACCCTTTTCCCAGAAACCCGTTCTATCTGTTCAAGAACTTCGAGACCCATCATGCCACGAGTACCACCTCCATCGATACTCAGGAGATTAACACCTGTAACGAATAACTTGATGGTAAATTCTTAGTGTATTTGGCATCTACATGTAGAGCCGCAAAAGAAGAAGAAGAATAACTTTTGGCTAACATAGCCCCTCTGAGCATTAAATCAAATCGCTTAGGCATGTGTCAAACTTCGCGCAATCATTGCGGATCACGCGATTAAACGGCTTAGTATACCGTGCACCCAAGAGCCGTTGAGCGTTGTCAGAGTGCAGGTGATGTAAGCTTTTGGACATTGAACACTAAAAAGGATGGAATCCTCAGCATCTTCCACCATTCATTGCGGCCGTACGCGACTGGTCGCAAAGTCTGACGTTTTCTCAGTCTGCAGTGCTACTCAGTGGTCAAGAAAGTCTATCGTAGACACTTCAGATAGTACAAATTCGCTCTAAAAAGCAATGCCAAAGCCTGGTTGGGGGGGGGGGTCTCAGGACATCTGTCAACCGTGAGCCTTGGCGGTTCAGCGTTTTGTAGTGATGTCTGGGAGCTCTCACAAGTGCACACTATCACAGCATCTCCTCTTTCTTTATCTTCTTCAAAAGGCTTAGTCCCAATAAGACACAAAGTGTGTGCTTTTCCAGCTACGCTCTCACCCTTTGAGTTGACAGAAGCCTTGTGAACCGTTTGGAGGAGGGAGCTCCTTCAGGACAAATAATATTGGCCAATAAAAATGAGAAGAGCAATAAATACGAAAAAAACGAAAGGGATCATCAATGAATTATTTGAAAAATCAAAAAAAGCGCCTCACCTCTACTTTTTACAGCAGGTTGACAACCGCACAGCGTCAGGCATTGACGAGCTTCTGCTCGGAGTTCTGCACTTACATCAGCAGACGTTACTGTGGAAAGTAAGTCAGCAATAAGACGAGGATGCTGCAAAGTTAAGTTTCATACAGAACAATCTCCTTGTGAAGAAGGATCTCTGGAGAACACGTACCTGGGCCGCTATAATCCTCGTTGGAGGGAAGCTAATGATATGACTGCTGAGCTCTTGAATGCGAGTGAGTTTAGAACTCGACGTCTCAGCAAGCAAAATTTGTTTCACCAACGCCTTCGTCGTAGTCGTTACCTCAGTTCTTGATACCCGTTTTTCAAACGTATATTTCAGAAACCTAAACTCCAATAAAATCGAAACGTTTTGATACGAGTATCAGGTCCAACTAACTGTGCTTTCGTGGGTGCACCGCTTGCAGAAGTCTCAGTCACAATGGGTTTTGTCGGGCCACTTGACTCTTCTGATGTTAGACCCAAGGCATGACTGGCTGCTGCGGTCTAGAAGATGTGAACTTTGGAGCAATTTATCCCAAAAAGCAAACTCAGATAATGTTACCTTAGCGAGTATTGCATTGATAGCTCCAGCTAAGTATCCCATATATGTCGGAGCAGCATTTGGGTCAGTTGGCTGCGTGACATGAGTAGGAGCTCCACCAAAAGCACTAGTTGAGGCGTGGAGGCTTCGCTGAGCCAAAGGACACAACGAGCGCAGCCCCGCTGATCCCTGGGGGATCATCTAAACATAAATTATTACATCATTTGTTGGAAGTCATTTTTAAGGCGCAATGAACAAAGAATTATCACGATGGCAGTGTTAATGCCGAATGAACTTGGACAGTACTAGCAAAAATTGAGGCTAAACGGTAGAAGCGCATAAAATCCACTAGGAATATTTACTCTACTACAGCGAGTCAAGCTTTCAAAACTAGTCCTTGCAGTTACGTCTCCATAAAAGGAACGTGTAGGCAAAGTGTTAGTCCGCCCATTTGAGATGCGCCGTGCATTCGGCTGGTTTGGAAGGAAGAGTTATTTTGAGGGCAAAAAGTTCGTGTTTTTCGTATTTAAAAATGCTTGAGGGATTTTCATAAGTATGCTATGGCACCCATGAGAGAAGAGACCGAACACGAAGGTGGTTCGAGACGAAAAGCGCTTTCCAAACGAACTGATACATCATACACCATAATGATGAAATGAGGGTCCTCCAGGAATGAGAGTGGGGAGGCAATTCGAGCCAATATCACTGTACAATCCTAGTCTACTGAGAGAGGAATCTTCGGCACACGTGCGAAAGCGAAATGGTAAATGGTTAACGTGAAATGGAATTCATTTTTTGCTGTCGGTCCCAGTAAGTTGTAGCTAGAAAATGGGGGATAGGGGAACTTAATGCTGCAAATGGTACACAACACATCGAAAATGTGGAAATAACATTTTCTTGAAGAAATCTACCTCATTTTTCTAAACTTTTCTCTAAACAGTTTAGGCATGGACCTCAATTCCTTTCATGCGCATTGCCCATGAAACAAAAACCCCTCTCATTCGATTTCATACACAGCTCTTGGAGAAGTTCATTGAGACTCACATGTGCATGAGATCGGAAGCGTCATCGAAAAAAAGGAGGAAAGATAGAACACGAACGAGGAACCGTGAACAAATGACGCTCAATCCTCGATCGATCCGTGTTATTCCTCCACAGCCGACCAAAGAACCTCAGAACATTGCTCCGCTGATGTTTTCACTTTTGCAAACTTCACCACGATATGAGAAAGTACAACGCTCAGTTCAATCAGTATAATATTCTATGGAAAAGAAGATTTCCAATTCAATATGAAGGCTGAGACAGCTGCTAGCTCTTATATTAGCACATACCGCAGAAGAAATAAGCCAGTACAGATTTACTGGTCTAGAGAGGTAAATACTTTATAAGTGCAACTGAGGGAACGTTCAACAAGCTGAGACCTTCTTCATGTTCGTGATGTGTATGAACGAATATTCCGTTGTCGCAGTTAACATAAAGAGTAAATAAGAGACGAAGAACGTGATAACTTACAGATGATTAGCAAAATATTGTGACAGACAGACTTCCTGTGCTGCTCACAGTGCTGCTTAATCTTAGAACGGCTCAATGTCTACCATCGACGTCGCGCCGATGCAGCCTCTTTAGGCACGCCCCCCCCCCACTCAGCAGCCAACTTTCTGTTCGCGTTGGTTGCCTGAACAATGGCGCCATTTAATGTCGCTTCTTTTGACAAACTTCGCCATGGAGGTAGATAAGATAACTGATGAGACGAAAATTTTTTAGTAACATTCGGATTCCTCTAAATTTCTTGAAAAAAATTCGGCTCCCAAGAAAAGTTCTTTCCCCTTATCTTGCAAAATACGACTACACCCAAGCACGCTCCTCCCTTACGAAAATCACAACCACTCACCTAGCCACACACCTTCGTATTGCATTTACAACAGCGAACCGTTTGTCCTACTATAGCGGAAGTACGCGAACAGAAACTATGCATGTTTTATATGAATGATTTATTACCGGGTCTTATTACTCAGCTCCTCTCATTTGTACCAAAAAAGTAAACCTAAAAATGATGTAGAGAAAGTAATCCGGCTAGAGGATTTGGCTAGATCTGCCATCTTTCTCTGAATTTCACGGCATCTGGTCAAACTGCTCATCCCCCGTATTTGTGAAAAACACGATGGTTGCGTAGGGCGTATTTGCAATATTCGGCATCAAAACCATCCATCAGTGATGGTGAAAAACAAGATCTTGGTTCACATTGTGCCCAGTACGCCCTTTCAGGAAGGGTTCAACGAGCAGTGCGGGAATGAACGATCGATTGGTGGCTAAAGCACTTCTCTACTCTCAGCAAAAGTGAGAATGAGAAATGCAATCTGAGTTTTAGCTCATTTGAGGGTAGAAGTGAAGGATAGGGAGGACCTGCGACATAAAGGAAAGACTCAAGAGCCGCTTCACATTGGAATTCATAATAAAAGATGAAGGGAAAAGGAGAACACGTGTAGACTTCGCTTTGATTAATTAATAACGACACATTGAATCATGTTGATCGATCGATACGATATGCCAATTCTCTCAAAACCCCAGTGGATCGCACCACATAATCAATATGTAGTACCTGAGTGTTCGCTCATTCTGTGATGCTCCAACTCAATTGTTCGTTCTATTTCACACTCTCCCTAGTAGGATTATAGAATCAAGAGAAGGGAAAAGGAATACAGAATTAGATATGATTGACCACCCAAATGATGAATCAGGGAATCGGCGAAAAGTATTACACCAAATGCGCTGGGCATATATCCCTCCGTTCATACTCAACATTCTCGAGAATAGGAGACCAGGAGATTACGAGAAAAGGCGAAAAAGAAAATGCATTGGAGAATTTCTAGTGGAGTTCTTTGTAGTTTCTATTTCCTCCTCTCCTATTTCCCATTCTCCCAATCACTCCGTGGACTTGTACACCTTATCTCCCATTCTTTGTGTCTGATGTTTCAGCAGGTTTTCCTATTCACCAAAATACTGTTATGAACGCGGCTTAACGCCTGTCCCAGAGTAGAAGGAACGTTTTGTCAAAGGTTCTCTAAAGGCGACACGTTTGAAGGATAAGTATGAGATTATTACATCTGCAAAAGCCACACGTGAAAAAGAACAATCGAGCATCTCTGTGCATACAAAGAAAAGTGTGCAAAAAAGGTTCAATACAAAAATTGTTAACTTCAGGATCAATCCCGCGAAACCTCTTGATTTTTTAGCAGCATGTAGGCTATACTATGCTTAAAATGAGTCTGTGACATAGTAATCGGGATGTTTTTCTAGCTTTTACACAACCGCATATTTCACGTCTTGAAATATACAAAAACACACAGAAATGCC